ATGGAGATGATGTCTAGCATGTATATATATACGGATGGAGATGATGTCTAGCATGTATATATATACGGATGGAGATGATGTCTAGCATGTATATATATACGGATGGAGATGATGTCTAGCATGTATAAATATACGAGTGGAGATGCTACAGGGTTAAGGGATAAATCCCCAGTTCAACATTTTGTTTACCCACAACATTTTAAAAAAGCCTTTGCTATTAGATGTAACATTATCAGCCACCTGTTTCTCATAAACACTTTTGGATTTCCTAGCTATTCATTAAAATACAACACTCATGATACAAATTAAATTATTTATATTAATCCATACAGTACAAGTATGATAATAAGTTTTAACATGAAAATGAAAACTTAGATTCAAGGAAATGTTTTGACAATATGAGCAGAAAAATAAATACCAAGTTTTTTAAGAAGGAAAAGTGTTAAGAAATAAATATTCATATGGACACACTTAACTGTAGATAGCAGTGGTAAATACTGCTCTGTTACATGGTTTATTGATGATGTTTAGTTGAGGCATTAATGTAGGTAGCTTGCTTTTATTAGAAGTTAGTATTAACTACACGTATACTTAGATTAGAAAAAAAAAGTGCTCAATAAACTACTTATCATCAAATGATTACAAACATCTTCATGAATCTATGTAAATATAAGTACACTTGATTCTTTATGACCGATATACAATTATATTGTACACATGAGTCCTTGACCTTTCAACTTTCAGTGCTGAGCAAACAATCTAACCAAAAGTAGAAGTTTCAAATTTTTCTAAAATTCTTTTAAAGATTTGAGAAATTTATCTTTAAAAAAGCCTATTTTTGTTGCATAGACTATTAAACTATTGTCTACATTTATACATACGATCAGTTTTATTTGAAAATGATTGAAATTACAATGTGAAAAGTTGAGTTATTACATCTCTTTCACTTACAGAACTTACTGTACATAACTTTATTTGTTAACAATATTTCAAGCAAGGACCGAGAAATCAACAACATTTTCTTTAACTTTAAGGATTTTAATGATAGCTTCTTTTTTTACAAGTTACAAGTTGCTTTGATAAATAAATAAAAATCTTGAAGTAACATTTCTATCATACCCTCAAATCAAAATGACAAATAATTACTGTTACATGTATTTATAAACTTGAAGTTTAGATACAAAATACCTTTCAATAGAATGTTACTATGATTCATACAAAACAGGGCTACTTCATGTTAGGGTTAATATTAAGCATTTGGAAGTTAGTGGACACAGCAGCTCCAATGTTATGGATTATAACTGTGATTTCTCGTAGCTCTATGTGATATTGTACAATTTTTTAATCCCTCTCTAATAGTATAGACAGATATATCCAGTCCTTGTTATCTGTCACCTCATTGTTTGTCATTTCGTCATTTCAAAATAAATTAACTCTATCACCACATGGTCAGTCAAATCATTGATCTCATAATTATTTTGTAATCACTATCATTCCAAATTATAACTTTGATATAACATATTTATCATTGCAAAATTTGGCAAAAGTTGAAGTTGTGTTTATTCCACCCAATACAACGTCCATATTGTAGACCATGGATTGGGGGGGTAATCGCTGCCTTGGAGGCATATTACCTGCAGCACATATTTTCACAGCTCATCCAGGAAACTGATGGTAACATGAGTGCATGTGAGCCATGTCATTGTAACATGTGTATTGTTAGCCAGGCATGACTGAAAGGTCAATATAATAAAAATAATAAATATATATAAATGTATAATGTTATGAGATTTAAGCAATTTAGTCTAAACATTCATGTTTTCGTGTTAGAATTTGTGTTCATTCTCGAATGAAAGATGCATAACTTATATTTATTTCCTAATTTTTTATTGTTACAAGATTGGTAAAATCTAGTGAACTCGAACAGAAATTAATTACGGAAAATAACAGATAAAATATAAAGTTCTTTCTTAAGAAATATTTGATAACTATCTGGACCTTATAAAGATTTCTCATGTGAAATTAGAAAATTTTCCGATACATAAGAGTATTTTTAATCTTAAAATGAAAATTACTTTGCATGATAGATAGGCAACATGCGAAAAGTAAAAAAAAGGCACAAGAAAAACATTTCTTTACAAACTTTAAGACTTAATAAAAAAATTTGAAATAATCTGCAAAATTTCGTTAACATTGGCTTACTATTTAAAAGGTATAGCATAAAAACTATAAGAAGCACAAAAATGGTTATGAGGTCGATCCCAAGGACCGAGCCTGTGCTCAAAGAGTTAATAAGGTCAATGAAGCAATGGAACTTGCTTCTGAAAATGACCTTGACGTGGGTCACAGCAGTGCAGTGGCAAGGAATATGCAGGATGAAATTTCTTATTACCAAGAAATGTATAAAGAAAAAAGAAAGAAAACAAGACAACTCACCACCATTTCTTTCATTAAGAAACAGGCAGCTGCACCTGAAGAAAAGGGGCCAGTAGGTCCCCTCTCCAACATGGAGTCAGCTTCGAGACCATAACTCGTGTTACATATAATTAATTTATCTTTAAGATCCATTTTTATTAATTAAATTTATTAGTAATGTATTTGTTTCAGGTGATACTGTACATTGATGCATTTTGCAAGATATTATTGTACAAATAATGAGTAGAATTATGTCAAATAGTTTATTATAGAAAAATTTTTGTCATCAGAACATAGTTACGACAGCAGAACTCAAGCAACACTGGGAGCATGCGCTCTGGAGTTTCTCGAAGGATCATGAATTTTCCTGGCAACTCTAGTTTGTTCCAGGCACCCTCTTTTTTAGTATACAAGTCCAGCAAATAAAGCCAGCGAAAAAAGATAGCTATGCAGATAGATTGAAGATGCAGATAATTGATTCGAGCAAACAGTAGGCACTGTAAGTAAAGTGTGTGAATCACTGTGATTT